TATTGCCACCGTCTTTTTACACCTCCTTTCGGCTATTCCCACCTCCTGTTTTTATTACGTAAAAAAATACTTCAAGTTGCTACGGAAATCCTTTTTTAGAAATTGGAGTATAGTGATATTCAAACACGTCCCTTTTTTGGAAACTGGAGTACAGTGATATTCGTATAACATTGTGCGCCCGTGAGCTTAAAGTTTAGCAGCCGGTAAAGGTAAAGCCGGTAATATCTGCCGATATTAAAAAGTACACAAACAAAAAAATCTCTGGCACAATCCCGATCGGATATCTTCTTCGATCACGAGAAAGGTCTGGCGCAAACAAGCAGCGATGACTCGGTTATCTATGTACCGGAATGCGTCTGACTGCCGGACTTTTCATTTCATGACAGGAATTGGACGAAAGCTTCAAGGAGTAGCAGAATAGTGCTAATCTGTCACCAAGTCTTCTTTTCATTTGTAAACAACTGTGTAATAGTATTTACAGCTCAGTGCAATAAATAGGTGCTGCCAAAAGAGGTGAGCAAAGGCGGTGGCAACAGCCAAAAGGTGGTGTTAGAATGCATTCTTAAAAGGTAGTGCGAGCTTAAAAGGTAGTGCTTTTGCGAACAGGCAAAAGGTGGGAATAGTGGGAATAGCCAAAAGATGGTGCGACTGCGGGGTTGTGGGAATACCCACATCCTCCTTTGAGAGCACCGGCATTTTTTTCGTGGTGTCTATGGGCGCAACTCTTAATTCTTAACCGAACAGCATGAAGACTGGTGGCAGTGATGATGCACATTGAACGAAGCCAGTTACCTAAAAAACCTTCTTGGGAAAAGCCTGAGCTTCCGCGACGTGACCTTTATGCCACCCAGACAGCACCGACTGGAAATTGTCGTGCTGCAGTTTGATGCTTGATCCCCTGTGAATGATTCTATCGTATGGGTTGCGAAACTTTCTCAACTCTCTGACAAAAGGTGCATTTTTCAGTGACTGTTTTGCATAGGATGATTGCAACTATGACCCGGGCCGATTTCCATTGCTGGTCGTTCAACTGAGTAGCCCAATGACGTATAAGCTTTTGGTTTTTATTTAGGGACAAATGTAATTTGTTGGGCAAAGGCCATCAATGTAACAATTGTGCATTCGCGTAATACTACTTAAAATGATAGAAATTTAAACGTTAAAAAAAAACAGCCAAAATCGTTATCGCCGTCAAAAGGGAGGGACATAGCTGTGCACAACAGCTGTGCAAACCCTCGAAGTGACTAACTTTGGACGGACCTATAAATTATATAAGCAGAATGTATAAAATAAGAAATTCTATAACGACCACAGGTCAACACCGTGTTCAAACAGGCAGAATGAATAAATTCTTATATGTCGCGTAACGGGTAGCAAACAGAGACCGAAGGCTACGAATCACGGGCTACGGCTACGAACCGATGCGAGCTTCCACTGACCTTGCGGACACCATGCTTTGTGGCCGCTTTCCCTGAACTTTGGATGCATTGTCTGCGATCCGCAAAGCGTTTGTAGCCAGCGCCAGCAGAGCCAAACCGACTGGAACATACCAAGACTATCTATTTTCTATCGTAAGAAAGTTTGATAAATCCTCGTTGACTCAACATCTTTTCACTAAGGCTTATGGCTATGCCGAAGCAGGATAATGAATAAGACATTTTCCATGCGTTCCTGACTAGTGAGCGGCGTACGATTGGCGTCAGACGGAGATGAACAACTAGCTCCACAATGCTGATAGATCAACCGCGAGCAGTTGACATTATGCGGCATCCCTTGGTTATTTTTTAATGCAGATGATAGCGCTGTCATCTGGACTAAAATAACATGGGATGCCGCATATTACTTTTGCAACCACGTTTACAATAGCGACGGTTTTCAACTTTGACATTTTCTTGTTTGTCGTTAACGAATGGGATTGCTTTAGTGACCGCTTAGAGTAGTACACTCAAACTGGAAAAACCAGACCAATTTAATTATAATGGAAATTTAATACCGTCAGCCAAATTGTTACTTGCAATTGTACGAAATAGCAAGGGAAGACATTGAAAACTGGCGTATTGATGAAAACCGCCGTGTTGTAGTCCGATGCAGAGGTTAAATCCAGACAAAAAGGCGTAATAAGATCAAATTGGTTCAATTGTGCTGGGAAATTTTGTTAAATTCTCGTCAGTCTAAAATTTCTCCGGTAAACCCATGGTGATTTAGACTTAAAAACCCATACTTTCTAGGAGCTTCCTAAGAGCTAATCCACGCTTCCTCATCCACGATTCCAAGATGGCATAGATCCTGGGTTTTTCTATTCCTGTGCAGGAACAGAGACAGTAAACGTATTATCCATATGGCATACCATCCATCCAACCTCGATAATATCTGACGCCAATCATACATCAGTCATCGGTCAGGTGTACATGTGTATAACAACTTCCAGACTGATGACTGATATTTGGTTGAAGTCAGGTGCAGGTAAGCGATCATCGCTGGAGTGCTAAATATCTAAAACGCAGGGATAGGCTGTCATCTGAATTCTGAACGAAAATGACTTCAGATGCTGAATAACGCCGGGAAAATAGGCATAAAATGGTGACGATGATCATCTCTGTATGGTTTTCTGTCGACCTAACTGCTTCCTAGCGGCCTCCTTGGCCAACGTATTAGTAATCAACGTCCATCGCTTGAAATGCTGCAACGTTCGCTGGCCAACACAAATTTACAGTCGTGCGGCAAGAATGTGTTGGTCCGTGGTCGTTTTCCCGAGTACTGGACAACCATTTTGAAACATCGATCTTGTGCTGGATGGCAGATAAGAAAACGAAAATAAAGATCACAGAACAATAAAGTATGGTTTAATTAAGTTTAACCGAAGTAAGCTCGAGTGATTTTAAGACACTGCTAGCAGTCGATTTTCCATTTGTTTTCCGATATATTGTTAATAAAAGTGATATTCTTTTGTAACCACTAAGCGCTGACAGCGTTACCAGGAGGTATTTGCTTAAGTACTTCTACTGTACCCGGTTCATGGATGAGGTCAACATTGCTGGCACCTTTCAATAATGTGTCGGAACCGATATCGCGAAGGTGCAACACCTGTCTGGAATCAAATACTTGCACCTAGCTTGTAATGGTACAGCTGCTTCCTAACTGTTTTTTTAAGATTAATGGACCTGTATAACCGATAGTAGGTCTGAGTACATTGCTCGCACACGTGGAAGCTAAATCAAATTTTATCCAAAAGGTCAACGAAATATTTAACAGAGTCGTTGTTGATGGATCAGGATGAAATAAAAGTACTATTAATGTTGTAAAATATGGTATGCGTGCTTTTTCAATTAAGTAGAAGTATAACGGCGCATGGTTGGGAGCTCTCCCGGCTGCCTCCCTTGGTAATCTTCTAACGGACTCTGCGGTACGAATCGCTGTTGGTTTACGCCTTGGAGCATCGATCATCGTCCCACACCGCTGCGTTTGCGGTGAGTGGGCGGATGCGCGTGGCTACCACGGCCTAAGCTGCAAGAAAAGTCGCGGACGAATTCCTACGCATAAATGCCTTAATGCCATTGTGAAGCGCAGCCTCGCATCGGCCGGCTTCGAAAGTGAATTGGAACCTCTCGGTATTTTCCCAACAGACAGCAAGCGTCCAGACGGCGTCACCTTGACACCATGGGAGAGGACGCATGTTGGCATGGGACGCTACGTGCGTCAACACCATGGCCATTTCGCACATCGTAGCGACATCCGGACAAGCAGGAGCAGCAGCTGCGCAGGCCGAGCAGGGCAAGATTGAGAAATATCGTAACATCGGTCAGGACTACATATTTCGTGCTCTGGGCTTCGAGACGCTTGGACCGCCCGGACCGGATGCTGCCCGCACGATAACGGAATTTGACAGTATGTACGACAGGAAACCGGCGAAAAACGAGCTACGGAATATCTTCGCCAGCGGATCAGCATAGAAATTCAACGAGGAAATGCAGCATCGATCTTGGGGACAGCGCCGATGGGAGCAAATTTAGATCAAATTTTCTCTGTAATTAGGCCGCCTGTGTCGATTGATGCTTAATGAGTGATTGTTTCCATATCTGTGTTGATCTGAATCCACTGTTAATTGTAATAATAATACCAAAAATGACCGTAGTTAAGTCCAAATATTTATATACTTAAAAAAAAAGTAGAAGTATAGAACGAAACAATTTTCATTCTATTTCGCGCAAAGCGTTCAAGCATGCGTGCTGCAAGATTTTAAGTTATTTCATCATCCTTCTAATTTCTTGAAGATATGTTCGTGGCTTCGTGCTTATCCACTTCTTATGAAAACGCTTGGCATTCGCATTCGAAAGATACAACACCGGTACAATGAGCGTTTATCATTCCTTTGTTTAAACTATACAAAGTTTTGTACTATAGAAAATTTCAGACTTTAGGTCGGTTTACAATGGTCTGCAGTTTTGAGCCAACGCTTGCAGCTGGTAAAGCCAAACACTGTTCCTAGCGCAAACAGGAGCCCAAGATTGCGCTTAGTTTTATTGTCGTATATACCTGTACTGCCGGCTGCCTTCCCCGTTTCACAATAGCACAGACAAATGCACGGTATGCCTGCTTACTATGGTTAAATAACTAGGAAGTCGATTTCAGAAATTGAATCTCACCGGTGTCCAAAATTTTTATTTGGTTATAGCTATTTGTACTGCATACGAAGCCTTGTACTTACATTATAAATGTTCTGTACTTTGTAATGGTACCGGTAGTAGGTGCCTGGCGAATTGCAAATTTGAAGCAACATGTCTTGTCATGAAAATGCATGATGAAATCTTCCCACAGATGTCCCGTGTACTGCAGAACGAAGTTCAGCGCCGATAACCGCGTATGCGTTACATAAAGAATAACGTTAACGTTAACCGCGACCGACATCTGTGATTATACGACTGGATTCGAAAGAAACAACAATAAGCGACGGTATTATACCAATTAAATTTCATGACGATGGAGAATTTTTGCGATTACCGCACCGATGATAATGATTTTGTATTATCACACCTGTTTCTGGTACCGGCCGCTCTATTAAAGCCTCTACAAGCAACTGTAATCGACGGATTGATTCACTGTAATTCCTGAAAAAGGTCACTGTCGATTTTCCGGTATTTTCGTGGTGGAAACGTAGCAGGGTAGTCCTGCGACCTTTCTCTGCCAGTGTGGTGGATTACTTTTTTTGAGCTGAATGTTGTTGGGCCAAAATGAAACTTATTTGGTGGAGCTTCTTTAGTTTCATCGCCGCCATTTTTCTGGATTTTCGGACAACCCGAGCAGAAAGTAAGCGGTTCGCGGGCAAGCTGCAGCGCGATAGTTTATGGTATCCACAGTATTAATAGAGCTCTGATTGTTACACTTGTAATGTCTCTTTACAATTTCTTCATTCGCGATGTCAGCAGTTTGGCACCAGTTTCAACTGCAAATTTATTTGCTAACGAGTTTTCTCTTAACTTCTTTCCCTTGTCACTGCACAATGAAACGTTTTTGTATTGTTTTTAGCTTTGATACGTAAACAGCATTTGCCTTGTTACCGATCCATTTACTAAAATTGTAACAAAGCAACGTACGCAGAGTTCTTGGATATGTATGCATATTAACAACAAAATTATAAGGTATTGAGCGTATGACGTTGGTATTGCGATGTTTCCTGAAAAGCCACAGAAGTCGTACAGTATAAATGTGTATGGCGTTGGTTCATTTGTTAACTGCTCTTTCGTAAGTTTCGTTTAAAGTTAGCTTATTTTTAACTTAACCACAATAATAAGCAAAATCGTTTTTATTAGGCCCGGAAGAATGGAATAGAATAGCGGAAGAAGAGCTGCGCAAAGCACTGGAAATGAAGCCGAATACGAAGAAAGCCAAGAATATTCTCTTCTTCCTGGGAGATGGAATGGGCATATCCACGCTGACTGCTGGCCGAATCTACAAAGGTCAACGTCATAGACGCACTGGCGAGGAAGGAACGCTGGTTTTTGAAGAGTTTCCTCACTTGGGTCTGGCCAAAGTAAGCTACAATCCCACGATGAAAAACCAGATATCTCCTGTTGGAAAGTTCTCCTGCTCGGAAATTTTGCAAACGCAAAGCAAATAATTGATTTATGTGTAAAAGCACCGACTCTTTCGGCCGTACGGTTTTCCAGCTAGAATCATAATTCATTTTGACTGTTTCGCGTTAGTTCATAAAGCAGGTATGGTTTTCCCTCTATACAAGAGTGACCTTTAACCACATTTTCGCAATATTCCAAGTTTAAGTACGTGGTATTTTTTGTTATTGTTCCTCCACATCGGTTTGCATTCCTACGTTGTTTCTGCCGGCAGACATATAACGACAACTATCAAACACCGGATTCAGCAGGCACTGCCACGGCGTACTTCTGCGGCCAGAAAGTGGCCATGGGCGTTCTCGGTGTGGACAGTACGGTGCGTTGGAATAACTGCAGCTCGGCCACCAAAGACCACGACATCTCGTCCATCCTGGAATGGGCACAGGATGCCGGCAAGGCCACAGGAATTGTGACGACAACACGCATTACCCACGCTACTCCGGCCGCCACCTATGCACACACTCCGGATCGCGACTGGGAGGCGGATGTGGATCTGCCGGAAGCGGATCGAACGCAGTGCGTAGATATCGCCAAGCAGATGATCGACAACAATCCAGGGCGAAGAGCTAATGTAAGTAACGAGCGATAATTGGTGTCGTTCCGATTACTAACCATAAGGGCAATTACAGCAATAAATCTGCTGTCAAGACAAGCTTGATAGCGAATCACGTATTTTGCTATCAATGTAACAAACAAGGAAATAATTTTGATAGTATTCATGCCAGTTACACCAATGATAAGTATTATTATTAAAGTCGCACGATTAGCGTCAATGCCAGTCTGGCCAGGTGACAATCTGTGTAACGGTTCATGGTTTTTGCCAATTTTTCTTAGCACTGCACGGTTTTTATGACTGTTTCAATCCTGTATGCAAGACCCATTTATTTCTGATTGCGGCAAAAGTGTGCTTGACGACATTATACGTTATACTATCTGCCAAAGCAGAAACTGAAATTGTAGGTTATATTTGGCGGAGGATTGAGCAAGTTCACACCGACCAGCGAACTGTCGGCTTCTGGTTCCGGAAAGAAAGGTCAGTCCCTTATACGACATGCGTTGTGCCATGCAGTTTAGATCAGAGTATTGCAGTTTACTGTAATACCATACTGATGCACCAGAAAGATCATCAGCCATAGCTGTCTTTCTTTAGGATCTCGCTTGGATGGCCAGAACCTATTTCGAAAATGGAAAACTCACAAAACGACTGATGGCCTTGGCGCGAAAGCCCAGTTAATAACAAACCGGGACCAGATGAATGCTCTGACACCAGAAAACACCGATTACGTCCTAGGTACGTTCTGCTCAGCATTAGGTTTTCATCGCTGGTACCACCTCCACTACATCCTCCATCCTCTTAAATGGTGGTTTTTTCAGGATTATTCAGTGATGACCATTTGGAATATGAACTGAAGAGGAACCGCACCGCTCGCTCCCAGCCATCCCTGACAGAAATGACCCGTAAAGCCATTGAACTGCTTTCCAAACACGAACAGGGATTTTTCTTGGCAGTTGAAGGAGGACGCATCGGTAAAAGTCTAAGAAAACAGTACATCTGTGGTACAATGTGCGATATAATTTTCAACCGTTTCATCGGAAATGATTTTACAGATCACGCTCATCATGATGGATTTGCAAAATTAGCACTGCATGAAGTGTTCGAATTTGATAATGCAATTACAGCTGCTATGAAAATGGTGCCCCTCGAGGATACTCTTATCATCGGTGCGAATGACTAACTTATTTTTTTCATAATATAATTATTAATTAGATGTACTTATCGGTTCCTTGTTCTGCAGTGACCGGAGATCATTCACACACGTTGAATATCGTTGGTTATCCGGAGCGCGGTATGACTTTGTCCGTTTCACCTCAGCCATTCAATGCCGACAGCATTAACTTGTACCATGCACGTTTTAGGGAATGGGATATTGAAACTGGGCGGTAAGGATAAAAGTCGACTGCCTTATACCACCCTCTCGTATGCCAATGGTCCCGGGGCAGTAAAAGATCTGCCTCGCAAAGATCTTACGCATGTGGATACCGGTAAGCAGTGTCTGCAATGTACGATGTACAGTATGTTGGCTGAAACGGTTATATTCACGTCCAGAAATCGTGATCAAAATTTATAAGGAGCTTATTAAAGACTGCTGAACAACAGCTTACTCAACTTACATTAAACCATATCTTTAAACAGCCTTTGTCATCAGGGGCCTTAAATACTACGGAAATACTGAACTTTGTCATTCGTTCTTCCGCAGAGCACGAAGATTTCCAGCAGGAAGCCCTGGTTTCCCTGGATTCCGAAACGCACGGCGGTGAAGATGTGGCGATCTATGCTCGTGGACCATTTGCGCATTTATTCCACACCCTGCACGAACAGCACTATATTGCGCATGCCATGGACTACGCGGCATGCTACCGGAAGCGATACGGCGTGCACTGCAAAACTGCTGAAGATGGCGAAGAGGAGCTAAAGCAAACCATCCACTCCCGTCATCTTCGACAGGGACACTGATTAAACGCCGCTGAAAACAATTTGATTCGGATCAGCGTTAAAGTTGTATCGGTTTTGAGGTTGCAGCTGTTTTTGGGCATGAAATAAAATCTTTAATTTGATGTAACGGATTATGATATACGAGTGATTTCGCAAACCGGATGGTGATTGCCAGATTTTGGTGGAAAACGCAGTAATTCAGAAACAAATTATACTTTTAGTATACGTATTTGTATAAACTGATATTTCTATATTTAGTATAACTAATATTTGTATCAATTAATATTTACATTTTTAGAAGCCATAACTCTGTTAGTTAGATGTAAACATAACTCGAGAACCGAATTTGCGGCACTGCTGCCGTTAAAAGCGCTGTCACATCAGACTGCCACACCGCTGCCGCAACCCTTTTGAAGGTGCGGTACATCACCTGTGGAAGAAGAATATGCCATATGAGCATGTCGTCAGGATGATACCACACCTTCCGGTCAATTATAACATTAGTAATTGATAAATTTGTATAAGACCGACATGGTGATAGTGACAGATTACCGTCTGGACTGGGAGAAGACCACGCGTGTGGCAGTGCTGACATTACGCAGCAGCATTAAACCATGTAAAACCGCGCATATAGATTGAAAAGCGCGGTCACGCTTGGCACGCATTAGTTATTTCCAGGAAAACAGCGAAACTGTTTGTTTCAAACGGCAGGTGCTCCACCCGTAACCTTTGCGTGACTGGCTGTTCCCAAATTAAACTGCAACCTGAGTCCCTGGCTAATTTATGCCCAAATCAAATCAACTATGGCAATGTGCGCGCAGTAATGGTATAACCTCTAAATCTATCCAAAAGCCGGATATGTTGCGTTTCTATGCTCCGATGATACGACATACTTTATCGTTACTCCAAATTAAATTATTTTTCTAACGCGCGTTCAGTTATCATATTAGGCTGAATCTACAGATTCTGCCGCAGTCTAAAAGCCAAAATTTTACTGGCATGAGAAAACGTAATACATTTTTCGAGCCGTAGTGAGGTACTGTTATCATATTTCGTTAGGTTTTCAGTCCGATTATCACCTTTACTCCGCAGCGGCATGCATTTTCTCAGACTGTTGCCAGTAGCCATGATCCTTTCCGGGCTGCTCGGCAGTGATTTTATGATGCCACATCTTTTTTCGCCAATGGGTCGCCAGTGCGGAAATGACCTTTGCCGGAATACCTTGGTGTGGTGGCTTTTAGTACCAGAACGTAAGATTGAGTGACAATGTAAACGATATTATAACCGTACCAAATTACTGATAACGAACTCTACAATGCTTGAATACAGCTTCTTGTACCGTACACTGTAGCGTTACAAAAGCTATGGACTGGGTGGTCGTCCTAACTTGTCGTTGTTAAACAGCCATATCAAGCTCAAAAGTTCCCGGACCATTTTCTGGTGAAGTGCGTATTTTCCCGGCGACCAGCGGAAATTTATTGACAAAATTAGTGATGCACAAACTGAAGCAAGAAGGGAAGGATCGTGCGATTCCAAGTAAGGATGCCCGACAATCCAGTCTGCCACCAAGAGTGGGGTAGTGCTTATCCATCGAACTCACAAATACGCATCAAGTTGACCTCATCTTTCGACATCATCGTATTTTCAAGTCTGCAGCAGCAATACTTGTCTGTACAGAATGTGGTTTAATTTTCGTTATACAGAATGTGTTTTAGTTTTAGTTATTGCATCGTCTGATAACAGAACATGTTTGGCGAGCCAGTGAAACAATCCGTTCAAACCGAATTCGTAACACATATGTCATTGTATGCCGGCTCTTATGTACGTAAGCGGGCGGCTTCGAATGAGTACTTGGATTCTTTTCAAATCTTGATCAGCACTGCATTGGCAAACCATTTGGTTTTTCATTAAAATTGGAAGGCCATGTAAGCAGCGCAAAGACGACTAATAAAAATGCTATTAAAATGAACATGTCCGGTGCCGCTCGTTAACTACTGTGACGTAGTTTCCCCTGGGTTGATAAAACAAGCCCACGCCACTGAGATTAGGTGCACATCTAAGCTGTTACGCCTGAGACACTGCAAGATTCATGATACTCGTACAAAGTGCACTTCTTTTCCAAGGAGCTTTAATTTCCAAGGACGATCCGGTAATTATTTACTTTATTTATTATGGAAACTATTTTATGAAGACAGAAACAGAGGCGCGTTTGGTAACAGTAACTGCAAAATAACCCAAATTTGGCCAGGTGTTGGCCCGTGCCCTTGAGATACTGCACAAATTAATAAAGTGTGTGCAGTAGTTACAGTGCACACGCACTGTGAACGAGAAAAACGGAAAAGCGGTAAAAATTGGATTTCAAGAACGACTGACTTTAATGTCAGTAATTTGAACACTAACAACTAGAGAAAACGTATTCAGCAAATTCGTAAATTTTGGTAATCCTCGAAACGGCAAGAGCATAACCAAAGAACAGTGCGTCGCGCCGCATGACCTTTTTAAAATTCCTGCGAACGTCTTGTATTTATACTTTAATTTTTATTCTGTAATAAATGTAAAGCGAAACTGTATGTCGTGAATATGAAACACGAGCAACCTGTATCTTCTCGTAGTTAACAAGTTAGTTGTAAGTTGCCTCCACTTCCGTAGATTACTTGGCAAAAAACTATACACCGCATGATTTGCTCTCTCTTACACAGTACATACTTGTATGCTACTCGTCGTGGTGTCGTCTTAAGCGTTTCTAGAGACTGATAATGGATGTACAAGTACAGGCTGCCGCCGGATGCTTTTATTACGGTAGTTGACGCACTTCCCGCCGTAGGTGGAAGATAACAAATGATTGCAAAAGATTGCAATGTATTTTTTACGCTGTGGTATGCGCGCACATGGACACGTAAACTGACGTTTTACCACAGGATAGACGTTTTACAACAGGATAGCGAATATCAACAATAAATAATTATGGCAGCCATTACTTAACTTCCTCAAATTTAAAACTTGTGAAATATTGGATTTTAACCGGCACACATTGTAACTATTGACTGCAACTTGCATTCCCTAACAGCTCCACAGTTTCACGTTCTGTGCGCATCCTCTTTTTGGCGGAATTAGCCGTTCTTCTTAAGCAGGTTGAAATGCGTTGCACCGAGTGCCCCTGGTTGCATTGTTCGCTGTTATGGGTACGTCCCTAAGTTGATCTTGCCGACTACAGTAAACAGTTAAAGCAAATTGTCAAAGGTTGTGTCCTTAACAGTATAAATCACGCACAGCCGTATTTTTTTCTCGATTGTGAACTTGAATTACTCCATAAAATTTATTATTTTTAACAGAAATTTATCCACGAAAAGGAAAACATTACGGCATCATTAAGACCACCTTTTAGGAGCAAAACACACCCCAGTTGCCTTCTGAGCACCGAAGAAACCAAAACTCTGACGATATGGAGCATAACATTATCCATCATCATTATCACACTGAACTGTTCGTGGCTGGTTTCCATAATTCCTCACGCTAAACTGCGCACTCAGATTGGAGCGTTGTTAGTGTCCAATGCAATCTGGGATATCCTCAACGGAATAAAGTTTCTCTGTTGAATTTAATATTTGGAGATGACATCTACTGCACAATTATGTTTACCCCGTGCGGATCCGCTATTGATAAAGATTTTATGGCCAGTATGGATGTGGCTCACATGATCGCCATTACCGGCATCCGATACATGAGGGCTTTTCACATTTCTTTTTACGAAAAGTGGATCAGTAACAAGAAAGCTACAACCGCTGCCATCGGTCTTATCGTTTTAATTACAACGAGTTTGTCCCTGGCTGACAATGGTAAATACACGATTATACAGCTGAAGACTTACCGTAATTATCGAATTAGAGCCCTAGGATTGCAAATATTTCGAACGCCTCACGGGGTGGGCTCCAATTACGGGCATTTGCTTGTATTTCGGAGGGAGCTTCAATTTTTCAAATAACTTTTTTGGCATAGTCCAATATGGCTTCTACAGCATTTAATTAAGCCCATGGGTTTTTATTTCGGAGGGAGCTTATAACTTTCAAATGACCTTAAGGGTGGGCTCTAATTACGGGGGGAGCATCTATTTCGGGGGAAGCTTATAATTCGATAATTACGGTATTTGGTAACAACTATCATAGTTGCTTCGAAGGTCAAAGCCAAGCGAAGCTATTGCTTGCGAAGCTATTGATCGTATATTGAAAAAGTTTGTGTGCTAAATTTTTTAACAATCTGTACAGAGTAGAAGTATACCAGAAAAGAAATACTCGTATCTTACATATGCTGCATTAACTTTTTGCTTATAGGGCTTCTTGGAGCTTCGGAATTGTGTCAGCCAAGCCAAACCGTTATTTCTGCGCTAAAGGAACAAGCTCTGCTATATCATCTACTAACCCTGTGGCTATTCGTTCTTCCCCTCCTTTTTATCCTTATGCTGTATGGCAGACTTGTCATGCACATGTATCGCCGCGCGAAACTGTCCAACGTCTTACGAGATAATATTATTACGCATGAGCGAAGCACAACATTAATATCATCCCGCTCATCATGGTACCTAAAAATCAGCCTTGGCCAGTTTACCCGCAGTAAAGAGTACCGTGCCAGCCGCGTCTACTTTCTGATGACACTGGCCGTTGTGCTACCGGTTGGACTGCATGCGACCTTTCGCTTTATGACGGCATCAAAAGTACATCTACCATACAAAATTAACTATATTGATTTTGTCGGTACTGTGTATTACATAATGCTCATTACATCTTTCTTAAATCCCGTCTTTTTGTTCTGTCTTAATCGAAATTATCGAATCGGCTTCGTACGTAGCCTGTCAAAACTAGGGTTCTGGTTTTGCATTGCAAGAGAGCCGGAAGAATTGTTTAGTGATGATCACGGCTGGGATCAGATGGCTCTTAGTCTAGAGAATGCTTGAATGTGCTAAAATTAAGTACCATTTAATTGCTGTTTGCGCAACAAACGGTAACACCGACGTCACATAATCATTTTATCCAGTAATAAAATGCCATCTCTCAGATATCGCTGTGCCATTGAATATAGCAATTCCCCAATATACATAATAATGAGACACAGAAGCGTTCACATATTAATAAAACCGCTAAAACATTCTGCCGTATTATTATCAACTTCCTGCGTCAGATGCTGACGGACGATCCAGACCAACTGTAATGACTATCAGCATTATCCAAACTTTGCTCATCATCCGCCGATTTCCCTGCCTGACCTTTGGTTCGAGATGATCCCTTTTTCTTAGCTGCCTTTTCTCCACCACCTTTCTTTCCCTTTTTCTTGCTTGGCTCAGCCGTTGAGCCGAAAGAATCAGCGCCAGCATCAGGTTCCGTGCCCGCATCGGTAGCGCCACCTTTCGATTTCGCCTCTCCACTTTTGTCGGATCCCTCTGAGGGCCCAGACGCAGCATCGCTCGGATCCGAACTGTCCTTGTCCGCTTTTTTTCCGCCTTTGGATTTCCCGGCTTTCTTTCCTCCGCCCTTTGACTGCGATTCGCTGTTTCCTTCAGGTGTCCCCGCATTATCGGTACTCGAACCGCCGTCTTGGCCGTCCTTTGGCGATTCTCCGGATTTCGATGAATCGGTGTTGGAATCGGCTCCGTCCGACGGTTTCTTCGATTTCTTAGGTGATTTCACCGACTCACTACCGGAATCTGGCCCCTCTGGCGTTCCAGCTGACGAAGCTTTTCCTTCTTCAGTGGACGACGTCTCGTCGATTATCGTTGATGGCCGACGATGATGATGGATGACAACCCGTCGGCAGCGCAGGCGTCCATGACGCCGACGACAGATTCGGCGTATTCGTCGTCCTTCGGCCGTATCCGCGCTCAGTAAAGCAAGCACAAAAGCACCCAGTACCACGAAGAAGGCCTGAAAAAGGATTCTGTGATAAAAGCAAAACACGTGACATGCCAGTTATGACGCTTAAAGTATGTTTTTCTATTTTCCGACTCATTATTTTACCTACCAACTGCAGAAGTTTCATTCTCAGTGCTTATCAAAACATCAAATCTCCAACTAGAAACCTTGGTACTGTTGCTGCACGAGACTCGACTTGTTCTTGTGAGCTGTGACCGATCGTTCGCGATCAAAACCGAAAAAAAGTGTACTGAATGACTGCAGGTGCAGATTGGCGAGTGGATACGACTGTGTAGAATTAAACTCGTTTGTGGCTCATTACGTAAATAGAAGATAAAGACGAGACTTACGTAAACCGGATTCGAGGAACGCACTCCCGGACAGGCGGACACTATGTACTCTGTAGCTTATGGAAGTTATGCACATCAGTTGTACAGTAAAACACAGGTACTGCGTATAGAAAGCCGAGGAAAGCCAGGCATGTTGGTAGCATAAATTTTGTTTGACCGAAACAGAAAGCAACCATTTGTGCTCCTTTCCTGCAACTTGGTTTTGTCAGCCCCTGTCAGCAGGTTCACTCGACTATCCCCCAGGACTAAATATCATTTGCCTTGACTCTCGGCGCACTTACCTCAGTTATCTTTAAAACTTCAGTAATGGCCGAGACTTCCACACAACCCACAACCACAGGAAATCGTGGGGGTGTGGCAAGGATCGCTAATTGTCTGAGCCAGCTGTTAGCCGGTGGAGACATGAGCGACGTTCAGTTTGTCGTGGGACGTGATTATGGTTGGTACAGATCTTTCCAGCTCACAGGCGCTTTCTGCGTTACGTTTGTCGTGAACGACGAGTTTATGCTTCATAATATCAAAATTATTGTTTTTGTACAGGCTGATCCTGAGTGCCCGTAGCGATGTGTTCCACGCCATGTTTAATGGAAATCTGGCAGAGCCCCTGTACATTTCCTATTTTCCTTCCCGACATTTTGCCTGACGCGTTCAATAACGTTCTTACGTATGTCTTTTCTCGAAGTCTACAACTGAGTTAATAAATTTACACTTCTTTGGTATAAAATACATTTGTACAAAGACAAAGTAGAAATTTATATATGTAGTTATATCTACACCGAGTTTGCGACTACTCTCACTCCGGACAACGTCCTTCAGACATTGCACTGCGCGGACAAGTACGGTCTGCCGTCGCTGGTGGCCAGGTGCCTCGGTTTCGTCCAGCATAAACTTCGTATGGAGAACTTCCTGGATATTCTGGAAAAGGTTAAGTATTTTTCCCGGCTGTCTCAGCCTTTTTGTACTACGTTGCGGTCATTCGAAGACCAGTAGTAAGTTATCAGATACGTTTTGGTGGAAACTCGTGTTGTAATCCTCAGCTTATTATTATATGTATTACTTTATTTCTCCACTTACGGATAAGGTAAAAGAAGCGATAACGACTTATGTGCATTAAAAGTGTATGCTAACAATTGTATATCTTCCAGATTTTCGTAATCAGACGAGCGACAAACAGACATGTCTGTTGCGCAATTGTTATGTTGTATATAGCTCCTTGCTTTGCAGATGGTTCGCTATAAGTGCTCTACACCCAAGATCATGGAGAAATGCTTGCTTCGGATTGATGAATCGTCAGAAAAGGTGTGGCAGTCGGAGCAGTTTTGTGCCATCGGGCAGGAGACGCTACAGATTATTCTTCAGCGGGATGCGTTGAGTGCCGACGAGAATACTATCTATTCGGCGGTGGAAAGGTAAAGATAACTGTAGCAGCGTTCTTGAATTGCGCAGGAGATCCCTGCATCTGTGCTATACAGGCCAATTAATGCGGCTATAGTTCAGGTACGAATGATTTATCAATATTGAAATCCCATTTTCTATCGGCAGATGGGCTACAAGTGCATTCCACCGAAAGAACATAGAGGCATCTTCCGCTAATCGGCGTGCAGAGCTGGGCGCGGCGTTGTATCTGGTCAGATTCCCGGTTATGACCGAGGCTCAGTTGCTGGATGGACCGGCTAAGGTATTTGGGTAGAATATGGTTTCAAGTAGTTAAATCATTTAAAATCTGTCGCGGATTGCGAGATTAAGTCACAGTAATCTGACACTCTGTAGTTGTGCGTCAGTATATAGCGTAATCTGGTTTCTTTTTCAGACCGGTTTATTGCTGCAGTCGGAGTTACGGGACATCTTCCATTATAAGCACGCCGCAGACAAACCACAGCTGCTGTTTCCTGTCAATTCCCGACAGGGTATGTAGTTATCATAATTACTGTACTGTACATGATGCGTTAGCTCCACTTAATGCGTTCCAAATGTTTATGGGTTCAGTGATAACTACATTACTGCTTGACCAGCGTGCCACATAATATTATTGTGGTTCTGTGATCTCTAGATGAATCGCCCGCTGAGGGCGTTATCAAGTGGACGATTGCTGATATAAGGGAGCTGAAGACTACACAGATTTATAGCGCTTGTACAACTGTGAGGAAGCTGCAATGGTGAGGTGGTAGCGGAATAACAATCGATGAGATAGATGTAATTTATATGTCCCTTTATAGGAAGATCGCCGTGCGAAAGGTCATTATTGCCAAAGAGGTTACTGTCTTTGGATACTTCCTGCGTTGCTCTGGTCATGCAAAATGGGCTTCCTGGACGTGCCACGCAGATGCAGAACTGCATCTACTGCCATGGAAAACGGAAACTGCGCCTCTGAAAGCAGGTGCGCCAGCCTTTCACAGCCCTTATTTTCCTAACACACCTAGGTTATCTTGCTACAGAACTTTCTCAGTGCCGGTTCAGCAAGGAAGAGAATGACTGGGGCTTTTCCGACTTTATTCATTTGGAGGTGGGATATTTTATTCTTGTCAAAGTCCTTTTGCATTAACGTACGCGTGTCCTCTAGAATTTACTGGACCCGACGAAGGGATACATCAATCCTGATGACTTCTCCTTGAGACTCCGAGTACGACTGACTGCTGGGCATCCTACTCTGGTTGAATGAGTATTAATTTAATACGTATGAGTATGTGTGAATGAGTATGTGTAGATGATTCGAGAAACGATTCGGGATAGAAAACCTGTTCGCCCACTTGTGAGTAATGTAGAGAATTGTTTTATTTGGGACTTTCGATGTTCTTTGGATAAACTTTGGCGTGATCGGTTGGAGATCGTTTTCGTGGAACTGATGTGTTGGCAGTCGTTACATTACATTAATTTAATGCGTTTCGGTTGCGCTCTCGACATTCCACAGCGTACCTCATAATTAGGTTCTAGAGTTACAAGAAAAAAAATGGATGGGAAAAAGACTGAGGATTAAGGAAGTCTTGAAAAGACAGGATTAAGGAATAAGGAAGTCTTGTTTATTATCCAACTATGGAAAGCGATGATTACGTTAGTTTTAGCATTCTGCGTTGTACTGTCAGTACAGATAGACTGCGCTATGGAACCAGACTTAACGTTGCGTTAACACCGTACATGAACCGATCTACAAAAAAACACACTGGTTGTGAATGGTCGGCAACAAGTGGAATAATAATTTGGAATATAAAGACCTACCTACACATCAAAATTTAATGCGGTCGTCAGATGGGATATCATCATGGAGAATCTAATAATCAGTAATTCCTATGACAGAGTGTAAACAAAATTGTGCTGTGGCAGCAGCACAATTTGTTGTAGTTTTCTGTACCAGTAATGCACTAGCTATAGCTGCACATGTCTGAAAACAGATGGATTTATCCCGTGGCCCATAATATACTGTCCTATCAGGATTGTCATCTGGAATTCGCTGTGTCATAACGCAGCGCAAATGTACTGTACGAGTACAATTGCAAATCGTTACCTGCATAGCGTTTTCACGTGAAACAATGACGCCGGCCAATGTGAAACACTGCGGCTCATTGTATCTGTGACGAAGGTACACCGCAGTCCATTCAGCACGCTTCCATTTGACCTTTCCAATGTGGAAACATTTGTCTGCAACCTCTGCCATTATCTTTCCCTGTCATTAATTTCAGATTCTGTTTTCTTTTAGATCATCTGTTGGACATCTTCATTTAGTAAAATTAAAGTTTCGAACGAATTAGCAAATAATATACCATGTACTACGCTAAAGCAAAAGGTCGTCCCCATTACTCAAAATGGTAAACGATTCCATTAGAAGTACTTAAAATTTATAATTTCAGCAACCAAAATAAAACGGTTAAATACTGTATTTCTTGATACACGCAAGCAGCTGTCAGGAGACAAAAATACAAAACATAAGTCGCTAACGCGATGACCAGTTCGGAGTCGGGCCGCTGATTCGCTGGTTGCCAACTCGCATCAAAGGTCTTCGTAATCATTCCCACGACAATCGCATAAAACCGGAAACCGGTTATTAACGACAAGCACTCATTCAGATCACTGACAATACTGGCCAATCGCGATTGATGTAAATACTCGTCAAGCTTTACAAATTCGGTGGTGTATAACTGAAAGCGTAGGTGGTACGCAGTCCTACGGACTATTTTGCTTGTAATCACGATGATGAAAACAACGAAACCAAGCAAGAGATCCCGACCGAGATAGGTGGTGTCAACAATGGCATAACAGATTCGAATACACCATTCCATTACGGGGCTGGATACGAGAATACCGGGAAAGAAGATAGTTTTCCATTCGTCAATGCTGTCACGTGCAACCCAGACAATCTGTTTGACGAAAAACCAATAAGCGTTTTTGACGACAGCGGCCGAAATGTATATCACCATCCCGACGGTGCTAAGTATGACGTCGTGGCGAGTTATCAACGAACCGTAGACCTCGTCCACATTTCCAAGAACTTTAACCAAACGTTGGCCATACGACCACATGAGAATTATGCAGAGCAAATTCGCAATCGTTTCGGACAGATCCGTGCACTGCATGAACACCGCGGTGAACCAGTTTGATTGCAGCAGACTGGTGCCATAATACATCCAGTCGCCGTAGATCATGCACATCTTAACGCATAAAACAAACGATACGTAAACGTACAAGACACAGCGCAGGAAGCTTGAGAATTGTGGGTAGCGCGCAATCGTGATCGGAAAGTACCCGCAGACTTGCAGAAATATCACCCAGATGGTAGTGACCTTCCAGATAAAACCATGCTTAATCTGCGGAGCCGGCATACTTGTAATTAAACTTGGTTTTTTATTGAACTGATCAATTAGTTCGGACATTTCTACAGAACGTTGGCTGAAGCGTCTTAGCACTTCTGTATTAAGAAAGTATATGTTGACATAATATAAGTGCTTTAAGTGTTTCAAAACTGGCGCGGAAATGCAGTAGACCAGGTGAACGCCCCTGCACTTGCTCACCGAAAAGTGCAAGCGGCAGAAGAGTGTCAAGAAAAGCCAAAAGATAGCTTTGCCCTCGGGAATTCCCAACTGGATAAGAACTAGAGACACAAGGGAACGCTCAATCGTAATAGTGTGCCAGATAAAACAACAAATTGTACACCACTGTTTACGCTGAACTGTACTTACGTTTAACCTAAAGTGCTGTGTCACAGTACTCGAACCTGGAGATCTTCCAATTGCACTATTTATAAATTTCAACCAGCAGCAATCGGAATGAGTACAACGGTATAACCACCTTTGCTGTTTTCAGCCGAACGGTTGTGGTCTCACGACTCACTTTCCGCCGCCTAAACCCTCTCGATGGTTTCAGTGACCGGCCGGGAATGGCTTGGACCTCTGTACCCTGTCACTTACGTGCGACTAACTCCGCACTCAGTCCGCAGTGGTGACCTCACAATTTCTATATTGTTGCCATTGCTTGTTTATACAAATTTGTCAAATTTGTCAACATAAAGAAGCCTGGTTAATACGGTTACCGATCAAAAAGTAGCGACCACTCTTTTAACGCTCAACCTACGGTCGCGGTCATTCAGTTTAAACAACATGTCAACAATGAGCAGTCATTTTTCCGCGACACATCTACCTGTATTATTGAAATTCAAGTGATACAGCAACTAAAGCAAAAAACCGTTAAAGGCCGTGAGCATTGAGTAACAGAAAATTGCAAAATTAACAATACCTATTTCATTCTGTCAAGAGCTGAGTAACAGTCATTCTCTGCGTATGGACGTCAACTAAACAAACAAATGTTGCAAACGAATTCACTCATCTCAAGCGTACTGCACAATTTAAAGGCACAAATGTACAGGAGAAGTAAGCTTATCGTATCCAGTAGACCACGGCAAGCCAGCATTAACAGTAAAACACGGTGGAAGAATTGGCTGTTTTCCACTCCGTCATTTGGTCGCGACTGACGCCCAACTGCATGAACTGTCTGGAGTGCCATTCACCCTTAATGCTTACAGTATAAGTATTCAGATTCTCGTGGTAATGAATCAACTTTGCGGTTAGATAGCGGCGCGTGATGGGACTCTTGATTTCTTGTTCAGGTTTCAGGATATCCACAGCCCGCACCACCTTATACGCTGCACAATGGTATCGTGTCTGACCTCCATTTCGCGAAACACTGATAATCCCCGATGGCAACATTCCGACAACTACTGCCGGATACCAGAAGAGATTTTGCCCAGAACCAACCTCAACAAACACCTCTTCTTGGGGCACGAATTCCGCATACCCCTTTGGGAAGCGTAGAATCGAGCCGGTACGGTGGACAGTCGGAAACGGCATCTGTCGCATGTTGGTAGTACTGGTGGCATGATTGTACTGATGCATGTCCCAAAATTCAGTTTCCAGCAGCAGTACACTCTACACGCAGATAGGGTTAGAAATAACGGGATTAGAGCCTAACCATTTCAGTAAACCGGGAGAGCCCGTGAATTTACAAACGGCTTTTATAGTCTAGTGGCGACGCCCGCCCATGGACTGGGTTTGGCGGCTATGCTCAGTTAACTGCCAATTCGTAGGTAATTACTGCCACAAAAAAACCGTTCATTGGTAAATAATCGCTGCCACAAGCAAATTTTGCGAAAATATTTACATGCAGTACGAAACGACGTACCGTACTTACAATCTCGCCAGCAAGGACGTTTTCACGAAAAACTGATCTACCTTGCAAAGGTCACGACTGACGACGGGCTACGCTTATAATTTGTTAGTGCTGCTTAGAACTTACTTTCATGGGCCCGTTGGCCAGTTCTTTGTTGCTCAGCAAGGGAAATCGGACGAGGAACAAGACTTCGCCAAGCACCGCACGCCGGTTGGCTGGCGAAGGTTCCAGGTCTCCCCGCAAACAAGCCTCCGCGGACCATCTGTACAAAATGCTCGCATCAACATGCGACTGAATAGCACAGGGCACACATTTTAAATTGGCGTACTTCTCCACAGCCGTGTAAATGGTATGCTCATCCGCCGACAGGCTGTCGCGCTGCACAATCATCTTCAATATCTCCAGGTCCACTGTCGGGAAATAATTCGACTGCAGAACAGCTGGACTGAACTTGTCCACAGTCTCCAAGCATTTCTCTTCCAGCCCAGCTTTAGACACACAATCGTGGATGCAGCGTTTGACCTAACAATGCAGGGATATGAAATATTCCAAATACCGTTATTTCTTCTATATCGGAACCGGAACAGTTACCGTATTTATGACGTGTAAAAAGTGGAACCCGACGCGATGCGACGCAAAGTGTTTATTAAATATTTAAACGCAGCAAGTCCGTTTATTTAAAATGCTCGCCATCGCACATGAACCGTAAAAATAGTAGCAACAGTAAGTGGCAGAAACTTACGTTTTCCAGATACATGAGGCAGTTGTCGGCCTTTAAATCGGTTTTGATGAACGTCAAGCACAGATTTTCCAGCAGCGGCAGACTGTATTTGTCCGCGCAGTAAATCGTTTCAAATACATTGTCAGCCTTCAGACCGTTGTCCACGGAGCTGGTGTAAATATATCTGCGAAAATCATAGGCGTCGTATAATTGTGTTTTGCACCAGTTCAGTGCATACAGGTATTAAAAAGCCAGTGCAGTAAAACTGCAGTCTGAATGAGTATTAATGTAACGGGTTCAGCCACTTCAGTGCCGGTTTTGTCGCATGTTAAAAGTGCCGCCCATCAAAGCCGACACCGCATTCTCACAGCATTATACTGCAAATTGCGCCCTGGATGCAGTACTTACGTAAGCATATTGCTGAACGCATCCGGCAGAATCTCAGGCACGTCGATAGGCTGCTCACCGGTTTCCGGTAAACTCCCGTGGAACATGGTGTAGAACACGGTGCTGCCATTGCTCAGGATGAACCTAAGATGATGACAAACGCCACATTGTGGGCTCACACTTCCGGCAAGCTAGTGACGAGGCAAACGTACTTGTGCGCAGCAAACAACTTGACGTCGCCATGCTGACTACCGACGGCAAACAGTACATCGCTCAGTTCGCCACTGGCAAGGATCTGCCGGCGCAGGTCCACATTCTCTCGTATGGCGCGCTGCCAGTCCGCAGAGGCTTCAGCGGGTGCCGCAGAACTTTCAGCCATAACTGAATACCTACAGCGCACGGAGTAGCTGAAAGGACCAGCGGACTGAGAGATCAAGATTAACCGGTATTCAGATTTTCCGGAACTTACTTGTGGTTAATCAGTTACACTAAAAATCATAAAACGAATAACCAGTGAAGTAGGGAATGATATTTGGGGCAGAATCAAATTAGATTGGACAAGCACATCATCAATAAAATTTTCGGTACTGTACAGTAATGTGCCGCAGTGCCAAACGTCACCAACATAAACTTAGAGACTTCATAAACCGGGAACACTCAAGAAAATCATGCCGTCACCCATCTGACTGCCGACTAGAGAGTCTGAGTAGAGACAAACCTGCCAGATAAGGGTGGGCAGGGTATGTGTTGTTAAAAATGACGTAAAGGGCACCGCATTTGTTACAAGATCTTCATATTTTACGCGCGTACAAACGAAAACTGGTTTATTTTTCCGGGGATTATGACGCCAGATCTTCCATCCTGTCATGGTTAAGCCGATTTGGTTACATATTAGTGATAATTACAGCCGCCGGGATACAATGAAATTCATAAAGGTGGTTGGTAGAACGCTACAGCCAGCACTGTAATGTACAAGTATATACGAACGCTTGGCACTGTAAAATACTTTAATTATGAAATTATCTAATGGAACTGCAGTACGAGTACTTCTACCCTTTTTCCGTCCGGTGATAGCCCTAATAGGTGATACCACTGATAAGTGCTGGCTGATTAAGGTACATGTTGATGTTCGTCGTTAGATTGTTTCAGCTGTTCATTGGTTTGTTTGTTGCATTCGTTCATTAAGGTACATAAATCGTGACGAGCGGTTCGGCGCTCATCCTTCATTACAGCAAATCATGCATATCACTTATCAACTGATTATAAACCAAGACAGTCAGCTATCAGCGCCATCCAACATCTTGCATGGGACCGGAGAGTGCCGTGTGGGTATGTAAATGTCCTCGGCTAGGGAGGAGTGCCGGCTGCGCCCGTTCATGCGCCCTTGTCGGTTCCCAGCCCCTGCACCCAAACCCCGTTTATCTGGCGTCGGACAAGCACTTAAAACAGCAAACAGATCGGGTGTGACGAGTGGAGAACTTCTTTCTATTTTTGTCATACAGATAGAAAATATAATTTTTTTGTTTGTTTGATGCAACAGAGCTGCGGTTCTGAAAGCTGATATCGGAACTCTGGAATCCAGATTAAAGACTCCGGTTCCAATCAGTCATCACCGCCCACAACTGGAAGCAAAAATGCAGACAACGTAACGGCGACTGTATGGAAAAAATCTAAACTCAAGATTCTGGTCTACGCTAATGACTACAGTACACCAGCTAATTGTTCGAGTACGTATCAAATGAACACCAGAAAAACAACGGTATCCAAATTCCAGGTTTTTGTTTCGAACTATAATAGAAGCAGTATCTAGTACTCGTACATTGATAACGGTACTTAGACAAAGGGGAAAAATGATCGCTTCAAGGCAGCTGTGACATCCGTATGTACTGTAACTGTATGTCGTATTGTACGCCTTTATTGATTGATCAGGATCGTACCGCGAACGCAACTGAACAGGAAAGAATCGTAGCTGCAGAAACAAGACAGAAACAGCAGAAGTTGTTAGGAAGAGCCAAAAGTATCAGAGAAGCAGAAAGTACAAAATACCGAAACTCGTGAATACTACACTACAGCAGGTGAATATCATATCAACTGAAAACATATCAAAAAAGAGAAAAAGTCAGTTTCCGCAAGCCATATAGCTGTCCATCAAACATCATTCGCATCGCGTCTTTTTCCACTTATTAAGATTTCACTTATCTACCGAATACGGTCATATCGAAAGTCTCAAGTGGCCCGATATACTTGTAATTGCCTTCCATTTGTCAACCTGGTTGCCCGCAATCTTTAGTTGCATAAAGTCCACATGATGTTCTCGGCCGTCGACAACAACAGTGTGCACGCTAGCGCGTTGTGAGCCATATGTCGCTTCCTGATAATCCCCGTTAATGTAGGCAGACACTAGCAGACCACGATCCAGAATATCCGCAGCCCGAACGATAGCTGTTGGCGAAGAAAACTTTCCTTCTGGCACCTCCATATCCACACCAAATGGAGGGTACGGATCCACCCCATTCTCTTTGAAAACCGCTGCCGGATGCCAATAGCCGTTCGTGTAGGCAATGAAAACCTTTTCCTTCGGCTTATACGTACACTTCGCCACGCGGTATGTCAGATGCTTTCGAGGTTCCATGGGAAACTTTAGCCCTTCTTTGGTTCCAGCGTGTTTGTACAGGAAAATTTTGCACACCTCTTCCGGATACAGCATACGACTCTAAATGCAACAAAACCAATTATTGCCATAGGTAGTGTTTAATTCCTGATCGCCGAATTTGGATTCATATTTTCGAAAACGACTACGATCGCTCACCTTCTCCTGTCCCTTAGCCAGTTGTTCATCCGTTAGCAGCGGAAAGCGAACCAGGAACAGAGCGGCGCCCAGCATTTTTCGGCGATTAGCCGTGGAAGGAGACAGTTTCTGACGAGTGCAGGCAGCCTCCGCCCATCTAGGCTCGCAACACAAAAAAAGTTAATAACTTTCATATTAAATATACGCAGCTCAGTACAGATGCGAACCACTGCTCACTTTTCCACCGCTGTGTAGACGACATTCTCATCAGCTGACAGTGTATCTCGTTGCAAAACCATCTCCAGCGTCTTGAGTCCAATTTCGGTAAAATGATCCGATTGGAACACGGCTTCACTGGACGCATCGACAACTTCCAGGCATTTTTCCACAATCCGGTCAACATCGGGCGTCCAGCGGAGCGCCTAAACAAGAAAGCCTGCATCCGGTCACTGCTACTAAATATTGCTCAGTAAATAATAACTGCTGCAGTTAATCATAATAACAGATTAGCAGTAATAACTGAGATCATAGTCGTTATCACGTAAAGTTATAATTTAGTAAATAATAAATTATCAAAACTATTAATAACAATACTGCGGACATGCCGAATCGCAGGCTATGGAAAAATCGAACCGGTAAAGACAGCGGTTGTTAAAATTTAACTGCGTAGAAATAATATAAAGAAAACGTAGTTACAACTAGTGATGTGCTACTACAGCTTCCTGCTACCTTACTTACTATTTACTAATCTTCCAAAACTTTTACTTACTATTACTTACTATTAACCCCAAATTTTTTCAAATACTTACTATTACTTACTATTCCCATTTTTGCCATCCAATTACTTACTAATTATACTAAATAAATTTAATTTTTAATTTATTGTTATTATTAAATACGCTTGTGCATTTCATGAAGGAATCAAAATATACTTTACTTTATGCGAATCTATGGTGTGAAGGCAAAATCTAGCAGTTCAACTGGGCTGCACAATCGGCTTGCCAGGCTGCTAATGCACTGCAGTGTAAATTTCTATAATTATACGTAACGTAACCGCAGTTTCGGGTTGGCGGTACGTTGCGTTTACGTGAACAGCAATACCACCGTCTGTTAAGGCTACTATGCAACACCGTTAATGATAAACCTCAGTACAGCAATGAGTCTTTCCTGGTTATTCGCTAAAATTCGATTAGTAAATGAATTAGTAAATAACTTTTATTTAATGAAAGCCAAATCTTACTATTTACTTACTATTTACTATTGTAACCGAACATTTACTTACTTTTACTAATTTTGCCTGTAAAACTTTACTGTTTACTACACATTTAATTTTAGGGAAGCTTTTACTAATTAAATAGCATTTATTTAGTTTTATTTAGTAGCACATCACTAGTTACAACTCAAACTGACAACGAAACTTTTTAAGCGACAAAACAACAATTCACAGTGCAACAAACATATTAAAAAATATCGGATATAAAATGTCTATTGTCTACCATCACATTAAATTTTTGGTATGTTCTATTATTGTGCCCACAGACTCACACTTTTCAGAAACATCAGGCAAGTATCGGGCTTGATGTGGTCGAGAACGAAGCTAATGCAGCGGTCCGCAAGCCAGGGCAAATCATACTTATCAGCGCAGTACAGAGTCTGGATGACGTTCTCGGGCTTGAGATTCTCCACAGCATCAGTGTAGATATAACTGCAAAATCCATCACCCCCTCAACATACAGCTGCCAGTGATTTCGTGAAGCGAATACATAGCTGCAGCTTCAAAGTCGTATGTTGAATAATGTTGTACCATAGAGGGTTCCCTATGGTTCTGCCTGCACTGTATGCCAGCACCCACTGGCAACAGTTTATCGTGCATCATTTAACGGTGGCTTTCCCGCCTCTACCTGAGCATGTTGGCAAACGCGTCGGGAAGGATTTCCGGAATGGGGATGATGGTTACGTCGCGTTTCGCCAAGCTCCCGTGAAACATAGTGTAGAAGACATCGCTGCTGATGCTCAGCGCGAACCTGTAACGTAACAGCAGTCATGAGCAATGCCACGCATCACCATGCTCAACGCTGCTATTTCCTGCGATAGAGCAGCACGCACTTGTGGGCTGGAAACATCTTCACCGGGCCATGCTCACGTCCCACGGCAAATTCAATGTCGCTCAGCTCTCCGTTAGCCAGAACAGCCTTCATCCTACTGGCGATGCGGGGAACGGTGCCTCGACGATCTGCGCTGGTAAACGATGCTTGGGACATGATAGAGCTCCAATACGAAACAACGATCGCGAATCGGATGAAAATAAATCAGCAGGATATTGTTAAATTCGCAGTTTATAATTTGCAGAACAGTGAGCAGTAAAAAACTGCCAATTCAAAGAAGATAAAAAAATGAGTTTTGAAATGAGGAAATTTGCAGAGATGAATTTGCAGATGTTGCTCGACTCGTAAACGTTGTTGCTCACAATTAGCGCACACTGCAACCACCCACAGGTTGACTGTTACGCAGCTGTTGGTCAGTGGAAGTTGAATGCAAATTGCAAGTTATGCAGTTGACTGCTGTTTAGGGGTAAAATCCAAACACTTTTGGGGCGAATTTGAAATGATTCGAAACAAAATTTGAACTTTGAAACCTAAAAATAATTATTTTTAGTTTTTTTTTTTGAATTTTCATTGTTTTTTGCAAGGAAATTAACTCCTATGTTGGAATAAGAGACGTTTTTCCCAGTTTTGAATTTGATACATCAAATCGTGCGTTGATTCAGTTTTTTTCGACTCAAAATAATTAAAATAAAATTTATTTTTGAAAATAAATAATTTTGTTATTTCAAACTGTTTCAGACGCACAAAGCTCTTTTGAATTTGAAATAATTTGATTCAAAGAAGCGAAATGTGAGATCTTCTGAAAGTTTGGTCTCAACCCTAGACTTCATTTTTCCATTTTTGCAGACACCAGTCAACGTCGGCATTTCTCCAATTTTTTTACACCACGAATAAAAATAAACAGAGCAAAAGCTCGCAATTCGAATACAGAAAACACACTCCGAAATCCGCAAAAAAAGCACACTTTAAAAAAACACATTCCCAACGATTCATGTCAGCAGCATCAGACCCAATGGCATCACAAAAAGGCATGGAGATACACACCCCCCTCGGAAGCAGAAAGAAACCCCGGTTGAAAAATTAAAACCCATAAAAATAAACCTCCCTCCCCGTCCCCCCGTATGGCAGTCATCCATCCCCTTTCTTCCCATTATTTCTCTCAAATCAGCCGGGAACTGTTCAGATGCCGCACCAGCGCCGCGTAGACGAACCGATACTGCGCCACCGTCTGCACCATGAACATCCGCTGCCGGCGCATATGCGCCAGCACCCGCGGCACATCCACCGCCTGGTTGTGATCGACACACAGCGCCATGAAATCCAGGAGGATCAGCACACCGCTCCGACCGCATCCTGTCTTACATATCACGGCTACCTTCTCCCGGACACTGCCCTGGAACTGCCGCCGATACGATTCCAGTTCCCGTACCTAGGATTGAAACTCCGGTTCAGAATCTGGACATTTCCAAAATCATATCCGAACTACTTATTTCATAAGGAAGTAAGCCCTAGCGTTTATGAAATGATTTGACATAGAAAAAGTAATTTTTATGCAACAAACTTCGCCTCAATAACTTTAAGAGAAGAGGAATTTATTGATGCTTTGCCAGTTTGCCGGAATATAACTTACGAAAATATTTAAATGAAAACCATAATTTTTTAAAATACACATCATAAATTCCAATAAAATAATTTAAAGAGAAAAAATCAAATAAATTAAAATCTGACAAACAGGAAGCAGCTACACAGTTTAATACAATAAACTCAAATAAAGTTATTATAAAAGAGTATTACAGAATATAATGAATACTTATCTGACTACAGACAACTAATAAAATGTCAAAAATGAGAATAGATGAAAATCCAGAACTTTAACTAAAATTCCACAAAAAAAGCTTGCAAAAAGCGATGTTTCCGAGAAACTGCTATTTTTGAAACTGCTATTTTTTTTGACTGCTGTCTTCTTACATTTTAAATTAACTGCTTGCAGGAACGATTCAGATTTTTCATATTTTAACAGAAACACGTACCATCTGGATGAAACCGTCCACATCAGCGGGGATACCCTGTTCCGCCCATGCCTCGTAGTGCAACGCCAACATCTTGCGTTTCGTTCCTTTTTCCTGCTTGTTAGACAGAGAAAAAGTCAGGGTACGGTAGCCGCTGGAAGAAGTGATGGTCTCGCGACGCAGGGTGAAGGCGCCCAGCTGCGCGTCGGCTTTGGTCAGATGTGTTATCCAAGGCACGGTGGTGGCGTCAGACAAGACGACGGCGATGCGCACGTGATCATCCCACAGCATGTTGAGCAGGTCTTCCGTGGTGGAGGGCATTGGGTCCTGGGTGGCGATGTACTGGCGTTCCAGGTCGCCGCATTCCAGAACGATTTGCGAGGCGTTGATGTAACTGTCAAAAGAGACGCTGGAATTATAGCCAACAGATCCAAAAGCTGTCGAATAATGCCGATTAAAGGCAGCGAAGTGATCGAACTCAATAAATTTACCGTATGCTGTATGCTGTAGAGCAAGGTTCTATTAAAACATAACGCTTACCGACGGCTCTCTAAGGCACATAATCTCTCACGAGATCTTACTGTAAACAGCAAATTGTACCCTTATCAGCTCCTAACAAAACCCTAAAGTTTTTTGAATATTTCCGACGTGTTTTTTAGCAGATGATCTCTCTATCGCAATTTTACTACTGATATTTCGCTTCATTTAAGGTATACTACACAGTACAGTAATGCCAGCAATCGATAGCGTTTTCGGTATTTTCACGGTTGAACGACCAACGAACATCTCAACGAGAAAAAACTGCCACCATAGATACATATCTTCTGAGTCCAGAATGATAAACTGTAGACAAAATACTAAAATTAAGGTAGGAGGTCCATACCAAAAGGGCAGTGTTAATTTTTTCAAATTTTTGTATGTTAATTTTTGGCTGTAGCGCAGGCAAAAAATAACAAGGCAAATTACACCAAAAATAATAACAGCCTGGAGAATGGAAATACTCACGCTTTCGTGTTGTTCTTCCCGAACCGCCGCAACTGTATCCTGGTATCATCATACGGCAGCACATCCGGATACCGATTCCGCTCGGCATTCTCCGGCATGCGGGCCACATTACACACCGCATTAGTCCGTCGCTTTTTGGGAATCTGCTCAAACTCTATCAGGACACTGCCGGACGACAGGCGCTTCTCCAGATCCGCCCGCCGGGCATCCTTGGGCGAGAGATTCTCGTAGATGGCATGGTCGGGTGGCAACTCCGCCAGGCACACATTGGACAGCACCAGCCCGTTCATGGCGGCCAGCAGGAGCGGACGGTGGGGTGAACCCCCCACTTCCGGATCATCGGAGGCCAGTGACGGGACGTGTTTACTATCCGCGGGGGACACCGAGACCTCCTCCTCCAGGACGGCGTCAAAGTGTTTCAACGGTGTAACGGTTAACTCATCGGCGGCAGTTTGCCGCACGACGGGAAGCTCCTACAACACAGCGGTCGACTTCAGAGACTTTAACCAGTTATTCAAGTCAAAGTGTACAAAACTAGTTTCCGATGCCATGTCATTATTAAGTGACAACTAGCTGCAGCAAGTGCGTACACAAATGCACATGCATGATCAAGTAAAATAAAAAGAGAGCGAGCCTAGTAGAATGGCTGACAGTGACATCCACCAAAATCGGGAAACGCCAGTCGATTACAGAATTTACAGTAATACTTCTAGTCATCCGAAATAAAAAATTGATTTAAAAAATCAACATTCATGCAAAAATATTTTGTCGAAAATTAAAAATATTTTTAATTTATGTTTTGTCAGATTAAAGCTTTTTACGTCCACTTAATACAACAGGCAAATATAACTGAACTAGATACAGTAATAGAATAACAGTAGTTTTTCTAAAGAAAAAAGTATATAAAATCTGACTAATCCATAAACATATTTCGACAAACACACACAACTTCATTCACCAGTGAAAAAGACCGTTTACCTTCCATGGTGGCTAATTCCTTACCTGGGAATGCGAGACAAACACCTCGGACCGTTCCGGCCGACTGATGAGCACACGCCGCGCGGGCACCGGGCCCGTCATGGACAGCAGATCCGGCGTGCTGCAGCTCAGCGCCGCCGCTCGGCGGGCGGCCCCCGTGGAGCGCAGCTCCGGGGTACTGTTGATCAGTGGTCCGATAATGGAAGACTGGGCATGGATGCCGCGGATCTCCGCCGGTGCGCCCTCGGGCATCATGCCGTCGATCCACGAGTAGCGGTGCAGCGGCGGGGCGCCGGGCGTACGGTGCAGCAGATCGACGGGATGGTTTTTGATGACGCTGTCGTAGGCGGGCGCCTCGCGGTACGACAAGGGCGGTGCTGCGCGCTCGAAATGTTCGCCTAGCAAGAGATTGCATAGTGTATGGACTGTCAGTGTGAGCCGTTGGCGGCAGTTACCAAGTGTACAAATCATTCATACAATTTCGTTTATTTCAGCCAGTAGTTATTTCTATCGTTATTTTTGTAATTTTATCGTGCATTTCGTTAAAACAAGACAAAAGCCATAGAAATAACACGAAGAAACGATATAAAATGGATCAACGCAAGTGAAAAAAATTACAAGATGTCTGCTGGTCATTTCAGGAAAATACTTGATAAATTTTCTAATGAATGCCATAAACGAAAGGGTCTGCAAGTCACCCGTACTAAAATAATTTTATTCAATTTTTCCACAACCTTATACAAACAGCTAAATCTGAGCTAATGTCATGTGTGTTTGTTCTCCGCCGTAGAATTCAACTATTAATTTTAAGCTCAATTTTATAATGTCATTGTAAACTTAACGATCGTCTCACCTGGATGTGCGCGGTGGTCACGGGGCATGTAGAGGTCGGTGGTGCGGGCGAAATCGATAACATCCGGCTGCGAGGATGCCGGCGCCGGGTGCTGCTCCGGCCGGACAACGGTCTGTACTTGCACGCCGTTGCTGGTATTTCCGTTGGATAACGGCCGTGTCATTCCGGTGGCGTCCGGGCGGAACATCAACCTTCAACGATAAGCGGAAGAATGAATGCCAACGCTAACAACTATGCTGTTGGCAGATTACTGGCGCGTGAACTAGTCCACTATTACATCATCATGAGACAACTTATCGTGTTGACCCCGTATTCTCACCCCGATAAACCAATATCAGAAACCCAAACATCCCGAAATGACTAAACGTCATAATTGTGCATTCACATTCTCTACTCGTACTGACTCATCACATTAGCACCTTTGTTAATAAAACCAGCAGAAAAACGTTTGAGTAAATATAACAGTAAATCTGAAAATTTCCCTATATCGTGGTACGAATAAACAAGAAACAAAAAAATTTGGGAATGTTATAATTTTAATGAAATTTTATAATCATTATTCACTCGTACATAATATGATAAGCAGACTTGGTGAATCAACACTGAATCCTGCGGACTGATCTCTACATTGCACTACGATATTCGTTCCCACAGGTAAACCAATGCATATGTTAGGACTTGATGGACACGCAACGGTATCACAACCCTCGACTGACACGCACGCAACTAAAACTCTCGTTAAGAAAATTTCTGACGAAAGTGTTCGTTTAATTAAGAAATTATTCAACAAAGAAATAACTTATTCTCACCAGTATTTATGCATATGTTTACACTTCAAACATACTACATGTACAATAAATAACGACGGTTAGTCGGTTACACATTAATCACATTCCAGAAGATTGATTTTACAAAAATTAAAATAATTAAGCCAACCCAAAACGCACTTTACAACACAAACCGAAACGGATCGATAATAAATTATAATTGTTCTATTATTGCGTGAAACCCAACAAAACGTACTGGACAAGCAAACCCCTGTATACCTGAAGGGATGCGCCTGCGGATGCGGTCCGGGATCCACCGGCCCCCCGTTTCCCGTCACCGGGAAACTACTCCCATTCCCCACGTATCCATTAGCGCCCGCTTCCGTCAAATAGAAATCCTGCTGCAGACTGATATTGGTCAGGACGTACGCGGCAAAATCCGCGTTCTCCAGGAAGATCTGCACCATGCGCTGATTGGTACGCCCGGTGCCCACACATTCCAGGTAGATACTGCGTTTGGCCCGCGAGACGTTCTTCAGAAGCGGCCAGGCCATGTTCAGCAGGGGCCGCCCGGTGGGGTGCTTGATGGTGACGCCCAGGTGGCTGGTGCCCAGCAGCAAGTCGTTGCCGGAAGCGTCCTTCGCCGCGTAGTACTCTTCGCCGTAGCCCTCCAGACTCTGGGCTTCCTGGATGTAGAACATCTCGGCGGCGGCGGGTGACATTCCCTATAAAAAGAAGCAAGAATCCAGCCTGGAGAGGGGTATTTGCAAAATCACTCCAAAGCCGGGAGTTGTTCACTTAAGCTGCAAGATCCTTTCTGCCCATTTATTGTTAAATATCAACAAAAAATTATATTACGAAAGCTCGAAAATTCTCTAATCGCTGCAACTTTCCCATAGCTGTGCGGTCTGACTGCTTCGCATACGATATGATAGCAGAGACGATATGAGCCACTTTACTACAATAAGTTACAAAATTCTACTGCTTCGAGCACGTAGTTTATTTAACAACAAACCTGTCAAATACATACATTACAATACAATTAACCACATATATACATATTATAATAAACAATAACCATATTAAACAACTAAAATCATGCAACAGATCAGAATAATGAGGTCTTGTCACATCAACGTTTCTTATCAGAGAGAAATATATACTTCTACAAAAGTGTTTCGGTAATGTAACGGCACGTTCATGGCAATATGGGCCTGGGGAATATTCAAAATCAATTTAAGTAAATGCAAAAAAAAACATTATTTAACACTGCTGAAGACTGTTGAATAACCGTAATTTTTCCATCGCAATGCAGTTAAAAATTTTTTGCCCTAACCAAACGGCATTTCCGTTGTATTCTCAGTCCAAAACAAAACCTAATATCTCTCTCAAGCTATGCAAACTATTTGTTTTCACATCCGCCTGCACTGCACTTCCTTTTCATTACACGTGCGTTTTGATTACAATGGCAAATGAGCACTACATTCAAAACTAAACGTTCTGGCCGCAATTAGAATTAATTAGATGTACTCCAAATACGATCAAGTGCGGTGCAGCTGCCATATATGCCGGTGTGTCTGTTAAAATGGACGGTAATACACGGACCGGTAATCCAGCGCAGGTTATTCTACCAAACACGATCAATAGATAAACAACACGGACAACGTTAAAGCCATTTGGCAAATGGATCCGTCTTTTCAACCTGCAACCAGCGACACTCGCCCGACCAACACCGACAAAACAACTCTCTTCTTCAACCTGCCACTCACCGCGGCAAAGTGGTGCGAGCGAAACACTATCCTTTCGGTTATGTAACTAAACGACAATCAACACGGTCAATCGATACATTTCTCTAAACGATTTTTTCCCTGAGATAAACGTTACTGACCAGAAATTTGCTTAAGAAATGTTGTAGCGTAAGTAATCAAATCCAATCACAGCTAGAAATTAATCGACTATACAGAAAGTCCGAAATTTGTTAATTTTTCAGAATTGAATAATAATCACAAAAATTGAACTGATCCAATAATAATAAAAAATGCTTCAGCATCGTTGAAAATTTATAATCTCTTTTAAACTTTTAACAAGAACCCACTATATTAAATTGAGATGCATCATGTATCAACGCTCATCAATCAGCCTCTACACTACGATGACTCAGGATATCCTGCATACGAACTACGAAGCTTTCTCCAACTTGGTCAAATCTCAACAAAGATCTCAAAACAAAAAAAAAATTGAATTCTAATAGTAACTCACAAAAAATGGATGGCAGATTTCTATGGATTTCCCAGCGTGCAAAAAATTCGAAATTAAAAAATTTTCAAATTCGTAATCCCCAAAACACATGATTTTATTTAAAAACACCTAACGTCAAGTCGCAAGCGCAACAAATCTTATGAATAAAAATTCTACCATCCAGAAAGAGTTCCACGTTGAAAAATACTCTGCTTCTTCACTATCCGGTACAACACGGAAAACGGAATAAAAAAGCCAGAGAAATAAATAACAGTTTAAAAAAAAAACAATTTCAAGGCACTCACATGAAAGGACCGATGCGTATTGGACACTTCCCTTAACAGCTCCATCAAAATCTCCTCCTGTGTACACATCCTTTTCGGGAGCAGAAAGAAATCCTTGAGATGATGCGGCGCATGCCGTTCGGGATCGAAGTCCCCGTAGGCGGCCTGCAGACTGTAGCTGGCCAGGAGCACCGCCTGCTCCGGGGAGCACAACAGCGCGCCCTCGATAATCTCGTTGCGCAGCTGCAGGAAGAACTGGTAGCGTGTCGATTCATCCTTGAGCTGGGTGGCGTTCTTCACGTAGAAGCGCACGGAGAACTTGACGAAGAGACTGTGAGCGAATTTGGTCAGCTGGCGTTTCAGGGGCAGATCCAGGGCCAGCCACTGGTACTGCAGGTGTTTGTTAATGAATTTCAGGCCGAAATATCCGTATTCGCGGATGTTCAGACGCTGGGCAATGTGGGATAACAATTCTTCTCCTGGAAAACAAGCAACACTCAATTAGGTTGTTACTTACACACTGTGTAAGTAACACACTGTTTACACACTGTTGTTGTTGTTGTTTACACACTGGCTATCAAATATTACCCATATCTTTTACGGTTATTTTTCACCCAACTACCACGGCAGAAATTCCCACATAAAATGATAACCAAATTATGCGATAGTGATAATATGTAGTTGATAGTTAATACCAAAGTGCATTACACTTCGCTGTTAGATCGTAACAATTTAAAATACTCCCTATTAAGCATTAATTTAAAAATTCGTAAGTGTTCTGTAATTTGTCGGGCTCATCTAGTGGTATAATATCCGAACAAACGATAATCCCATTACTCGAATCACGGTGGATGAAATACTCGTTTGAAATTTTTCATCATTTTAGTAGTAACTGTAACTATCTACATAATATTAAATCTTTACAGTGTTATTCTGCACCACAGAGTAGCTTCCATTTTTTAATTACTAAAAAGCCTGAAGAATCTTGAAGATTCAAAATTCCAAATACGAAACATTGAAAAGATTCGGTTTGTTCATTAATCTCTGTTTGTAATTTTTCTCAATCAATCAAAATCGAAAACTATATATTTAAACAGTCTTGAACCACCTGTGGAATTTTCGATGCAACAGACCACAACATCCCTGTATGGCCACTCAAGCGGTCAAGCATCACAAACAGGAAAATACGCAGTGATCCGTGGACAACAAGCCCAAGCTACTTAATCGTCTGTTTTTATTTCCCTGGCCCTTCTCCAATCTTTCGCAGAAATTATTTACGCCCAGAAAAATTAACCATAAATACGGCACGCTACCTGTGCTGGCCTCATTCAGGGTACATTCCATTTCCGTATTATCCAGCAGCTGCACGGAGAGCACGAAGAGAGCGCGTGTGGCCACATCATAACGGCGAACTTTCTTTAAACGGAACGCAAACGGCATAATTTCCCCCGCACACGCAGCCAACACACGAGAAACTCCAACAAGAATAAGTAATGACTTTTTAACAAACTCCAACTATATCAACAAGACAACAACTAATCCCACTGTTCACACGTCGACAAGAAAGAAAATCAGAGTGAGAGCAGAGAGCAGTGCAGCGCGGATTCCCGATAACAGCCCTCCACAACGACCCGTGACAGCGTGCACAAGGTCGTTCCTTGGTTCCATATTTGCTCTTAATTGCTCAGTGGAAAATTATAACAAAAAACACACATGCAGCGTCTGACCGATAACGATGGAAAAGTGTGGTGATGAAACGCCGTAGGTCATGGCAATCCGTCACCACGAGCTCAATCAAAAATGCGACCAGCAGCGAGGAGAGAAAATCGCTACAACAGTGGCTGAGTCAGTCATACCTTTGTGCCGTTTGTGGGTTGGATGACATGACACGGTTGCGGCGGGGCGCGCCGAGGGTGACTTCGGTATTGATCGGTAGCGACGGCTGACAGTCCGCCGCGACTGCGATATACTTCGTTACGGTACACCCGGTGAATTTAACTTTTTAATCGTAAGTACAAGTGCGTCTAATAATTGTTATTAATTTCATTGTGCAAACGCAGTTGTACGTAAATAAATAAATACGAGAAAAAAGTGTACGTAAACATGTAAGCTACGTAAATAAAATTAAAAATTGACCTGTGGAAACTCGGTGTACCAAAATCAAAAGTACGAGTACATATCGTAAGTCGACTGTATTTGTATTTATACAATGAAATTAACGAAATTAGCCTACTATATCTATAACTCGGTGCAAATTATTCTTATTTCTGCTGCACTATTATACTGTTTTTTGTAAAAAATTGATCAAAACGAGAAGTAAATATGTTTTTTATAATAGTTACCTTAATACCTATTGCCTATTGGCTGTTATTTCATAATGGACAATCACCAAAATAATCGAAGCGCTACAATGCTGTGCTAATGCGACACGTATATTATATGCAGGGTAAGTAAAAATTAATTAACCGCATAGTACAGAGTACAGCAATTAGTCTGAAAAATTAATTGTTGGCTGAAAATCGGAATGGGTATAAAACGGTATTAAAACATTTATTTTAGTCTGTATTGTACCGATCCGGTGCATTGTACTGATTGTACGGTAGGTACGTACCTTTCGCCCAAGAAGTGCAAGTATACTTGTATTCGTACATAAGTTTTTCTATATGAACACAAGAATGTTTCATGCTAATAAGTTAAATACTTCTATTATCGAACTTCCGCGGACAATTAAGTAGAAAATTGGGCATTCACTTCGCTAGGTCGTTAAAATAATGTGCATTCAAGAATGAAAGAAACAACCAGTTGACAACACATTAATACAAATTACATACTACATAATTATTGCAGTTTGTTTTTACCCAACACCCAACTAGCTGACCACCTCTTATAACACTCGTAGCTAAACTGACGTTGACAGGTTGCTCTAAATTTGCGTGGTTCTACGTATTTATCTACAAATATTTACAATAATTGATGATTTTACCAGACTTTTTCCGAATTATCCGCCCAAAGAGGCTTATTGTTGGTATCTGTATATAGATATGTGGACTTTTTGCCGCTATGGCCTTCCCCAACAACTCTCACCGTCTCGATGGCAAATGGGTAGAAGGGATACGAGAAGCGAGGGATACGGGATATTCGTACTGCTCAACCAAGAAGCGATAGTTTAGCTGTTTCCGGCCGGTCGGTTTTCTCATTAATGCCGGGTCGAGTTGCACGTGCCGATTTACAGTTAGCCGATATCAAAGTAGGATGACATAATAACTTACATATATACAACAGCGCTAAAACACAGCAAGTCCCATACTTAAGTAATATCATTGCAATTCCTAATTTTCAAAACTGTGCGGAAGTTGACAAATCTTGTTTTGTGCTCGGGAAACTTGCAACTACTGTACGTCCTTTGAAGTACTTGACTTGAATAAACGTACTTCGATAAATTCCTTATTCCGCCTCCTCTTATAGTTTTTTGCCATATTCCGGCTCCCGGCTAGTTGAAAATGCGCCGTATAAAAACCGCCCTGGTTGTGCACGGCTACACGATGCTACGTAAACCAATAGGGAAATTCGAAAACGTTGGTATGCAGCTAATAAACTCGAAGTCGCCAACCACGGTGGGCGGGCGCCAACCAGGGCGGCTTCGCTAAAGCCTAAAAGCGACTAATTAATGGTTGCCGATTTGCGCCCTAGTTTATACGTACGAGTAAAACGAATGAATATTTTTAATATTTTTTATGTTCAGTATGGTAGAAAGATCATGATCATAATTATTATACGCACTACTCGCAGTCGGCAGAATTACAGTACTTACGTACTCACTTATGCCGGCCAGCAACCACCTTCCCAAAACAGCCGACATTTCTCGTCTAATCTTTGTCGTTGCAACAAAAGTGGAAGCTTTTATTAGTATCATGCAGCCAAAAATCATTAATAAAAGTGCGGAGATATTTTCAAAACCCCAATTTTATCCAGCAGCAGTGAGATTCCGAATGGGGAGAATGACACAAGGATCACATTCCAGATTACCGAATAGTTCGTTGGCTAATAAGGTGGTCGTCACAATCAACAATGTATGTCTGAAAATGTTAATTGTTATACTATACTGTAATAGCTTAAAAAAGAGTTATACGGTCAGCGCTTGCAAATGTCACCTTTATGAACAGAACCCGGTTCAAATAAAACAGTCCAGCAGGCGCGACGTGGAGTTTGGAATTCGTATTCATGAAAATTAACGTGTCCATGGCAATTTTGATTTTGTAGCCCTAGAAAATGTGTGCAACAATTTCAGTTTACAGACGAATCCTGTTACGTAATTTCTACCTGTGGTGTTTCGACAATCGGTAACAGCTTCACCGCGAGATCGCTGTACAGCGATCCATCTTCATCATCCTGCAGTTCACTAGACTTTAAGTTAACAAATTAATCTGGAAGCGGCTGCAAACGCCATTTACCAATTTAGCAACTTCAATAAACGGGTACGCAAAGGATACGACAATCACGGCATACACGAGGGTGGCGCCAATCGTAATAAGTTCTGGATGTTTCGAAAGAATTTTGGCGCTCGCTGCATAGCTAAACATCAGTGCCGTGTCCATGCTACAGCACACGGCCGTCGCCAATCCAAAAGCTCGATTAAGCTGTCGCGAGAGTAGACTTAATTTTTCTCGAAACGCAATCAACGACTTCAGCTTGATTTCTATCCCTTCGTGGTCTGCTATCTTATCGGCACTCTGCACCATCCGCGACAACCTTTGATAAAAATACTCCCTGCCCTTTTGCAACACCGAACCGCCGAAGAAATACAGACCCTGCGCGATCACCGATAAGGTGAACGGAATGGTGACACATCCAAACCACAAGGCAGCGGTTTGATACCGGTACACCGTGAGTCCCAGTCGCAGAAAAGTTGGACTAACCGCCACAAATTCTTTCAAGGTGTAGGATGGCCGCATTCGCGATATAACTTCCCAAAGGGTGAACACTGTACCGACGCTAAAGGTCACCAGTAAAGTCCGCCGGGTGACTATGGTTTTGAGAGCGCCCTGATCGCCCTATGTGATCAGTTGGAACGCCTACGTAAACGATTTAATTTTTATCTGCTGTTTCAGCATCTGGAAGATATCTCCTGGGCAATGTACAGAGCGACCAGGATTAAAGAATTTTTACAAGGCCAGCCAGGTGGAAATGAAGCAACCCTGACGTACACTCTGAACCAGTGCTTGCTGCTGGTAGTGCGCACCATAGCATTTGTTTTGCTGAATGTTCAGGTAACTAATTTTCGAAGATTATGCAGCAGAGTAATTTGTTGTCTATGTCGTTTGTACTCCGACAAGTATAGTGCCGGTACAAAAGCACAAAATGCGTAATAAAAACCGTTCAGGCGAACGTTCCGTAATGGTCGGTTACCATAACGAAATTCCTCGAATTACCATACCAAAATCCCTCTAGCTCAATTTCGGTATTGCAAAATTTTGGCTTAACTAAATTCCAGATAGCGCAATTTGGCACAAAGAATGTCATTACAAAAGGTTTTTGCTATGCAGTTTGTTCCTGACGGATCGATCTTACTTTTAGGCAACAGCAATGTCTGATGCCATCTCCGCACGAGTTGTCGACATGCCGTATGAAGCCTACAAGAAAAACGCGCTTGCTCGAGTGCAGTTATTGGACAGGAAGCATATTGGATTCAGTCTAGGCGGTCTGCTCAACGTAAACCGCGAATTCGTCACCGCTGTAAGTCAAGCGGCCATAATTTTCAAGTTTATCTGCAGTTCTTATGAGTACGTCCTAGAGCGGTTGTGCTATTGCAGCTTCTTGGGGCATTCGTCACATACATGCTGTTGATGTGGGATAATAAAACAGACAACAAAGAAAGTTGCGCTCCGACGAACAGCAGCTTATCACTGTGACTAATCTAACGAAATAACACCGTGCTCCCACCTGCATGAATTCATATTATGTATGATCATGCTGAAGTCGTTTACACGGACTACACCATGGTCTGGGATCGTAATCTTCTTTTGATTTTTGCCCAAAAACGAGTATTCATGTCTTCATGTCTTCATGTATATTCATGTCTTTTGAAACACCAAAATTTTGTCTAATATTGTTAAGGTGTTTATAATAAGGAATTTATTGTCTTCGTGCGAGGGTCGTGCCCTTTTACAGCAGTGGACAGTGCAGCAATTTTGCATATAAGAACAAACGTGATGGAAAGTGATACGAAAATGCAAACAACAGTGGAAAACAAAAAAAATGACAAAAACGTTGGTGTTGGACTGAGTGCAGTGATATGAATGCAGTGAGTGCGATGGTTTGGACTGGTAGTGGAAAAAAGGTAAGTTAGACGATTGTACTGGTGTCCATGCATAAAACAAAAAACCCGCCTAAGAAGAAAAATATCCGCAAAAAAAATTAAGGTCAAAATTTTCACAATTTCAAAACATTTAATTAAACTTGCAGGAGAAATGGAAAGCATGGACACTTACGTACTGATCGTCTGTGTACTGAGACAACGAGCAAAATTACAAGCAGTAACATAACGATTTGATTGCATATGCAGGAACACTTTATTGCATATGCAAGAATTTCTTTGACCATTTCAGTTCTTTCCAATTGACGTCATCTAGAGCATGACGGAACATTCGGAGAGATTTGTAGAAGGATAGTGGTAAGGAGACTTCATTCCACAGAGATGTTATTCTGTCACTGAAACCGCCGGAAACAGGGAGGACCGTAACGCCACATGCAGTTGTCGGTGCTGGCGAAATTGGTAAATAATGGTTTTCAAGCCGCCGGATACTTCGCGTGTTTCCTGAAACAGATTGA